AAAGAACAAAGACGTATTAAAAAGATAGACAGGTTACACACTAACATTATTGTATTTTAAAGTGGCGCAGATAGTACTATATCTATATACAGTTATTTATTATGACACCTTGCGCTAACAAAAAGAGACAAATGATAGTATATTCATCTTTTTCTAACGATAGTTATTATCGTTAGAAAAAGATGAATATACATCATTAGTTGCGTATTGATTGCTGCCGAGCGCTCATTGGCGCGAGCGCGTGACTACCGATATGGAAAATGAACTCAAAGTTTACTCTAGCGGTTAGTGTTGAAATAATAAAACCAATTATGAACAAAATATCTATATTCAAAATATTTGTGAGACGTTTTTCTTGTCTCTAACAGTTGCCGTGTATTTTGTGCACCACTTAAAAACACAGGGAGGCATTTTTGCAACGAATAACTAGAAGATTTACGTGCTGTAGCGAAGGTAGAGCCGCGACGCGAGTGCGTGCCCGACTGAATGCGAGTCGGGCAATTACCTTACTTTCGTATTGCCATTTTAGAGAGAGTATGACGTATCTATACCTTTAAAAACATCTTAGCTAAAGAACACCAATTCCTTCCAAGGATGATTCGCGAGGCTATTGAAATCAAGAAACATCCTAATTTCAATAGAGAAGATGGCTGGGATCTCATAATTAATAAAATTACATCCCAACCCGCTTGTAAAATTACGTCCCAACTTACAGTATCTTGAAGTCTTACAGTTGTATGCTTATACAACTGTAAGACTTCAAGATACTGTAAGTTCATACTGCGTAGATCGGAACAAAAATTAATAATTTTTAATTTGAAGGTAGCCGTCGTTAACTATGACATTGGGACGTCATACACCTCAGTCCCCCCCCCCCGTGACCATGGGTGATGGAAAGTGCTCGAAACGTCGGGAATATAAAATAAGTTAATATACGCGATCAAATCCGTAAAATTAGTTTTATTTAAACACTGATTTGTTTTCCAATAATGTGCATTCATACCGTTTGAAATGAAAGAAGACTTCCTGAGGTATCTTCCCCCGTATCAAATCGAGTTCTGTGTTGGCAGGATTATCGTACGCAACGGTGACGTCATACACCGAAGTTAAACCGGCGCAGCGCAAGCGTGAACACAACGCTACCCATCCTTTAGTGCGTGGATGTAATACATACTCGTAACACTGTAAATAGTAATGACATTATTATTGAAAGACGATATGCATTAATTAACTAAGCAGAATATAGAACTAACTAACTAACTAAGAGACAAGAAATTGCAGCTCTAAGAGCCGAGGGTTTGAATCCCGCGCGGAGCAAGTATTTGTATCCCCTACAAATAATTATTCCGGGTTTGGATGTTTGCCCTTGTGAAATTTATTAGTACAGGAAAAAATACTAGTATGCATGTATCGTTTTTTAAATAAAAAAAGAGAAAAAAGAGAAGAAGAAAGGATTTGTAGTCAGTGGACACTGAATAAGCATAATGACGAAAGCAGCATCGTCTCGTACCTTACACAATATTTCGTTATTTATTTTTTTACCATTATGAAAATGGTCTAGATATGTAACGCACCTAGCCTTATCACCTGGGTGAATCAGATCTAAACTATGCTGTTTCTTTTATTTTGATTCTGTCTTTCACTGCCTGTGAAAACTTGAGCTGAGGCTACAAATGTTCATTAACCATATTAAATGCGTAAATTGTTTTTTTTTTTATAGGATAAGGTGACAAACGAGCACACAGTCCACCTTATGGTAAGTGGTTGCTGTGACCCATAGACATCTACATCTATCCTCAATAAAGAATAAAAATGCAGATGCGTCGTCACCCGTGAGGACTACGATCGAATGCTTCTTTTCCAGTAAAAAGGGTCTCCGGTCCTCTACACTCACCATACGAAACACAGCAGTGTTAAGCTGCTATTTTACGTTAGTATTCTGTGAGATCGTGGTCCTTCCCTGGTTGAGCCGGCCCATTTGTGCTACAACTATACTACTAATATAGCTGCAGCATGGCTCTACCACGTATGATGATTCTACTTTTTCCAAATTTGAACTAAAGCTTTCAACCTATAAGTATAGGACTTCTAAATCTAAATTAATGTGCTGCTTTCTTTCTAGATGATGCATACTAAAAGAAATAAATGGACAATAACATATGTAGGTAGAAAAGAAACCTGTAACTTATTCGCTTCAGCAAATTTGTGACTTCGACGTTTGTTGTCATCGCTCAAATCAGTTCCCTCTGGGAAAAGTACGATCCGATTCCTATAGTGCAGCTTCCGGTAATAGTCCACGAATTGTGAAAGATTCAGTTGATCTTCCTGCCAGTTGCGCTTTACGTATAGAAAGAAATTCAACTGCATTATCCAACCTGCAATATATTTACTAATTTACTTCCATAGTAAATAAGATCCTAAAACATGTTGTTTTATACACTATATAATACTTAATTTTTTTCCTTATTCTTTAAAATTAATCGATACACAACAGCTCTTGAATTCGAACAATTAATAGATAAGTTGTTACAATAAAATAAATTATAATTAATGCACATGTTGTCTTATGCTATACAATATTTTTATTTTTTCCTTAAAATTTCACATGCATCGTGTGACAACCCTATCAGAATAGGTATACATTTTCGACGTTGTTAAGAAGCTTCCCCTCTGGTCCTTACTCTTTACTCTATGCTAGAAGTTTGCTTAGGTTGGTAACAACCTTTCATTTCTGTCTTCACACAGTCTTACACCCATTGCTGTGTTTTAGTGAGTTTTATTTGACCGCAAAATTCGAGCATTCGCAAACTAACTACTAACGATACTACATCCTCAATCCGCCAACTAAGGGAGGACGTTTAATGCAAACCCTCTCTACAGAGTGAGTGTTCCATGTCCAGCTGTGGACTTTTAAGGATCGATGAAAAACAAGAAGATGTATATCATTTTTTGGTAGTCAGAGCCTGCACGTTAGAAGGCTACAATATGTACAGGCAGTGCCTTTACAGAACTTGTTGCTACTCCTTTAAATACATTATGTTATAGCGTAATACTGTTGTGATTATCAAGAGTGCAGTAAGTAACACTCAGCACTTTAGCTTTCGATTCTACTTCTTCCAAATGAGATATTAAAATAGGGAAATCATTTTCATATACTTATGGTTCATCACAAGAATCCCGAATATATGTATGTACTACACAATGACAAAAATACTTACATACCTACCCCCCACTACATTCTTGGTTCATCGTCATCATCGTCACCGTTACAGCCCATCACAAGCCCAAAAGAATAGAATAGAATAGAAGAATTTTTTATTTAATATTGATTACAAGTAATTCTTATTGAAAGTCATTTTTTCTTTTACCACTGGTTCGAAAAAATCCTCTGTCCTGGGATGAACCAGCAAGAAACCCAGCGGGACTTTTTAAATGCTAATCATAGGCCTCCCCCAAGGATTTTCAAAGATCACTGTTCTGAACTACCAGTGTCTCACACCAGCTCGTCACTCGCCCTACACGCCAACTGGGCTGGCTACTATGACTAATATCCCAACTCTTAGTTAACACGGCAAAATACAGACGTTTGTATTAATGTTGGTAATGAATAATTAAATATAACATAACCATGACTTACCCATGCCTGGTAAAGCTTTTATTTCATCTTTTAAGACAAATTTTATTCGCGATTTGCCTCCAGCAATTAAATCAAATACATCATTTTTATCTTTACTTTTTAAATCATTGCATTGGGATAAGTCGACTTGTGTAATAGAATCTGTTTCCTGAGCCGCATGATACAAAGCCATCCATACATAATTCCAATCCACCCGAGTGCGGTGATTCATAACAATAATTGTATTTTCATTTGGATTCACATAATCTCCGAAGAAACGCAGGTGAGTGTTGTAGCACCATTGAAAGAGTGCCTTAAAAGTACAATGTTTCTATGTAGTATAATTTCACAAGAAAAAAAATTATATACAGATGAAATAAATGCTAAAAATTAATATCAAACAGGATTCACAGATTCACAGATTTACTTGCATTATACATAATCCAATCCAAACAAGTTAACATAAACTAATTATTTAAAAAAAATGTTTAGTGTGCGTATAGATGTAATAAAAAAAAGTTATTTTTATATTTTTTTTAAATAAATTGCTAATTTAAACCTTTGTTTGAACAAGTTTCCACCTCGCACCGTTGTTGTGTCAAACAAAAACTGTTCGTCCAATTTGTGGAAAAGTCACACAAAGACACACATCTGATTTTCACAAAATTAAGTAAAAAGGAAAAGATACATACTTCATTATTTTAAATTAATATAGTACTTGTTACAGCACTCTAAAATATTTTTTTTACTTACCACCGGGTAGAGCTCCCATAGTGAAAATAGAACATCAACAACTTTTCTATACAGGTTGTGATTTAAGAACATTAAATACATAACAGGACAATAAAGCGTATAGAAGCCTGTGATAAAAAAACACATGTTAAATAATTATTATTTCACAACTTCTCTATCTCCTCTATCTTCAATACAACGTTAAGTAATCTTCTTTATCACAATTTTATTTCATAATTTAAAAAAAATCTGTTACTAATCATATCGATAGCAAAGATTGAATTTCTGTTAGAGAAAAATAAAATAATAACACGGGAACATAGGAAATGATTGTACAATGAGTTACTTACCAGCAAGAATTGTATAGTACCATGCGGCACATATCGCTACGCCTACCGCCATGGTGGCATACATTAACTGAGTTAGCGCACCGGAGAAACCTCAAAAGTGCTAATAGATTAGATTCTTAGAAGCCCTACACAACCCAGTAAACCCTATAAAGGCAACTTTTGCGCTTTATTAAACCGTAATTATTTACTTAACAAAATTTCGTAGAAATTTAATGAGGTATTTTCAATGTAAAACATTATTTAGCTATATAAGATTTATTAGCATTAATGTGTAAAAATAAATGTTCCTACAAATCACTATGTTAAACATTTTGTGACGGTATATTTTGCTGTTGATTCTCTTGATTTCGACCAAGTGCTTCACCTTCTTCTATTGTCATCAACAGCTCACAGTCTTTTGTTTCAGGTAGCATAAAACAAAGTATAGCACCTATTATTGGAAACACGCCAAAAGCTACCGGAGCGCACCATTGGCCGTGCGGTCTCAGTCCTGCGACGAATGGCGCAATCATGGACCCCACTCGTGCCATCATCGATGATATACCAATAGCAGCATTACGCACCACCGTAGGAAACATTTCTGAACAGTATAAATACAAAACAATAAACACAATAAAAGTAAAGAATACTCCACAGCAGCCAAGAACAACTGAATATGTTCCTTCCGGGACAAAAGTAATAACTATTAGACATATACTGCTTGCCACGTTGAAAACGATAACCAAAGTTTTACGCTTTGAGATCTTCATAAGTGGTATTGAAACAAAGCAAGAGCACAGAGATACACTTCCACTTGCTACAACATTAACATAAATATTTCCCGTTAAATGGCTTATATATTGCGCAACCCCATAAAAACAATAACTACAAACAAGCCACAAAAATGCCATAATTATAATGTTTCTACGAATATTTGGTGTTCGGAATAAATCTAACAACGATCCTTTCTTCATAACAGATTTATGTTCCAATTGATACAATTCGGTCAGCCGAGGAATATCTTCTAGCGGCAAATTATTTCTAAAAAATTAAAATATAAATTAGAAAGATTAACGTGATTCATAAAGTAGCTCATTAAATAAAGCCGTACTAACATTTTTGCCACTCGTTTCATCAGACTTATAGCTTTTACTGTCTTATTAGTAGCCAAGAGCCATCGTGGTGATTCAGGCAATACACAAATGTAGAAAAGTAAAATTATATTAATTACAGAGATTGCCAATTGGAAGTACATGTAGTCCGTTATATAGTATCCGAATGCCGCCAGTGAGATGTGTCCAATTGAAAACGGAACATGGAATAAAGCTGATAATATGTCTCTGTACTTGCTTCCGACGTATTCCATTATGATAACAAATCCAATTACCAATATTCCTCCAATAGAAAACCCCAACATCATTCTTACTATTGTGAAACTCCAAAAATCAGGGAGGAATGATGCAATCACTCCAGTAAGTGATTCGATTATTACAGCAGAAATTAATGTAGGGCGTCTGCCGTATCTGGAATTATAATATGCTTTTACAAATACAAAATCGATTATCAGGTTAATAAAAAATAATACAAAACATTGATTTTCGGTATTCGTTTAAAGAGATGAACATCTGTAGTGGTAGATTAAGATTAAATTTCCTCAATCTTAATCCATTGTCATCATCATTATCATCATCTCCAAAACGCGGCAAACTACTACTTCTGTTTATTCTAACAAATTCTGTTTATTAAAACTAAATAAATAATAATAAAACAATATTGATAAAATCTATCACAATAACAATTTAATTACAATACTATTTGATTGAATGAAAACGACGCGACCATGTTTTGGTGATAGGTACAAAAAATGAGACAAACATGACCTTTAAGTGACACATAGAGAAAAAATAGAATATATCACTTTTGTGCTGCCAATACGTCTTGCACTGGAAGAGCACACGAGCCTCTAATGATCGGATCTGCTATTGATATTTTAATGATTTTTTTTTTAATGAAAATGTTGAACTGATCACATGTTACGCTAATTTTCCAAGCATAGTTCATAGTTAACCGATAAACAAAATAGACTCCCCAACCCTAAGATAGTTCTTAACATTTTCTTCTTAAAAGTAATCACTTTTTTTGCCAACCTTGCCAGCACCCGATGCAACCGGCTACTCGTATTTTTTTACTAACTAGGAGCAAGTGACCGACAAATTGACGAACTTAAATTTAAAATCTATTGATGATGCCAAAGATATCGTTAATCGGGTCTAAGGCTCTTACTACCCGGGGCGGCAAGTGTTAAAAAACTTTCCAAGGTATGCATGCCACATTTTGAGATATTATGCATTCTTGAAAAGTCCTATAGTAGAATAAAAGGGGTGATGAAGATGATAAAGCACGATTTCGCAATTCACAACGACAATTATAACTATAAAAAATATATTTTGCGTCTATACCTATCTGATGCAGCTCCCAGTACCAAACTACCAATGAGTACACCAAACTGGAAAAGAGTCTGGGTGAAATCTTTGAGCCAAGAGTTTTCACATATCAAGTTCCATTCTGTTATTATAGTTCTTGAAAACACACTTTTATCGTATACAGGGTTGTAGCAACAAGTTATGTTTGTATTTGGACAAGTGTAATGCACTGGTGGAGCCAAAAATATTATAGCCATTTGATGTAACCCTACACCGAATTTGTTTAATAGAATAATAATAGAAAGCCATAAATGATACTTTCCGAAGTTACCAATTAAATTATTTATTAGTACCATACCACTCACTATTACCTAATAAATTTTCATTGCATTATCAAGTTTATCTAAATTACTTGAAATCTAGTTGGCGTGAACTTATTCCAAACACATTCAACCTTTTTTCTGTTAAATTACTGGTCGCATTCAAATGAAAAAAATATATTTCACTTATTTATTTTCAACCTCGAAGGTAACCTTAACCCTATTTATTTGTTTATTCTTTATTGAACCTTATACAATGTGTAAGTACAAAAAGTCTGCCTTACTGCTCATAAAGGGGATTTTTACATCTAGTGCCAACGTTAATTCCCACGCGATTTTTGAACAGTGAATGACTCTCAGTTCATTTGTACACTTAAATTAAATACTATCGTTTACGGTATCACAATTTCCAATTATTTATACTAGTAAGCTTAGTCTATAACAGTTAAGGGAGGAGCATAATGATCCATTCAATAAAATCATTCAATAGCAATGTACTAATCTACAAGTACAGGTGATCAATAGACACCTGCATTTATTTTCAATTAAGGTTAAAAATTTAGATGCGTTGTTAACCCTGAAGACAGGCCGGGAGATGCAAAACGGGTCTCCGGTTCCCTATACTCACAATACGAAACATAACAATATTTGCTGCTATTTTAGGCTGGTTTTCTTTTAGACCTTGGTCCACAACTGCATCTACAACTGCAACGTGGCTCTACAAGGTAAGCCCTAGAGGAGCTTATTTTATGCCACAAATAAAAATCAACAATAAGATAAATTAGCTACAGGTTGGGTCAAACGGGTATTAACAATTTGAAAATTAAATAATTAAATAAAAATAACATATTTTTTGTGTATTTAAAAATCGAAGAACATGGAAATTTTATGTTTTAAAAATAATATTGCCTAAATGACACCCCTCGATTGCGTTCTGTGCGTTTGACAGTCTTGAAAAATAAATCTTAAAGGAGACGGTCCAAAATTGTATGAAGCGTAGGCCTAGTTTCTAGTATGGAAATAAATTAAAATAAAATATTAAACCACTTTTGATCATTGAAACCCACGGATTTGCTTTAATTTCAGTAGTATTAATATTTTATTCTCACCAAAAAATGCAATACTAATGGCGGATTAAGGTCGTTTTGATTTGACGTTAGCTGTCATCTCTAAAATATACTCATATCACCTATAGCCTATCAGGTAGATTTATTATGTAAAATAGCTAAAATGTCTCGAAACTAGTAGGAAAAATGGGCAAAAAAGTTGTATTTTTTTATCAAAACACGAATAAAGTGTATTATAGATTGTTTATGTGCTTTTTTGGTCTTAAAACAACTAACGTTCTTGTTGATATTTGCATATCATAAATGCAGTTCAGGAGAAAACAAATGTAAAAGTACTACCTAATTCCAGACAAGAAGATTGTTGAGATAAATCAATGGTGCCTACGCACAAAATTATTTCATTGCATTCATTAGTGTGTACTAATGCACACTTCAATGCCAGGGGCATCCAGGACTTTTTTTGTTTTACATGGGGAAATGAGGCCTAGGTGTTTTGTTTTTACAAAAATTTTGTGCCAGATAGCTCAAATCCGTGATTATATGTGAATATCGGGTAACTCCGTTTCTCTATCCTAAAAATCCACCCTGAGATACTACTTTATTGCACTAATAATCTTCTATACATATAATAAATCTGTAGAAAAGTCGTGTCTGTAATTCTAATATAGTCTTGAAAAAACAAGTCCAGGGGACTAAATAAAGGGTTCTGAAGCCAAATTAGTGGTTTTTAGAATTTTTGTCTGTCTGTCTGACTTTCTGTCCGTCTGTCTGTCTGTGTATTCCGGATTCACGCAAAAACTACTAAACCGATTTACATGAAATTTTGTATGTAGGTAGTCAGTAACCCGGGGCAACTTATAGGCTACTTTTTATCCGATTACGGAACTTCAAGAAAGGAAGGTTAAGTATATTAATTTCCTTTAGATGTTAGTTTTCTGTTGTATCTTAGTTATAGGCGGAATGACGGGTGTTTTTCAAATAAATACCATATTACCATATTTGTAAATAAAGTTAAAAATATAGACATAATCTTGGTAAAATAATTTGAAACTACACCGATTTCGTATTCAATTCAATTCAGCGCCATCTATCATCAAATGGAAAAAGTTGTATAATTTGCCTTCAGTTATATATATATAATATAAATAACTTACATTTATATGATTAAATTATTAGATTTTTAAAATTATTAAAAAATTGTAACGTTCAGTTTTTTAGTATTTTGTTATTTTATTTTAAAAGTGTAATAATTTCAATAGATAATAGTGATGTCTATCAAAAATACGAAAATCGATAAGGTATTTATTTCAATTACTAATATATATGTAAAGTGATAAAAACTGGTCTGTCTGCAATTGTTGCAGAATTTTCATTATCATCATAGTTTTATTAAAGAGATTTTTATGTAAGTCGTGACCAGATCGTAGAATTGATCATATATCATAAAGTAGTCTATCATTTCGTGAAAACACTGAAAAAAGGACTGAAATGAATGTGTATTTAACACTATTTGATGACCGTGTCATTATATAGCTTGACCAAATCAATGAATAGAAATCTTTTGAAGTTATTAGTAACTAAACACAACGTTGGTATTTCATAATATGGTCATATGACGATATCATTATCGTTTTTCACCGCTAGCGGCGCTGATAGCTTATTTTTAACAGAAACAGAACTTTTAAGAGAATTGACATCACTTTATCCCTTATTGATTTGATATAATAAATAAATGTTAGTTTCTATTGCTGATATTACTAGATGGTATAGTTTTGGCTTTCATTATTTCATGTAGTATTAGCGCCACCTACTTACTTCTAAATAAATTAAAATGGCAAGACATTGATAAAATGAAATAATACAATGATACTGAATATACGATGTAAATAATTGAATCATTTACATTACGTTCATCCCGCGTTGGAATCAGTGCAGCGAACTCTTTTTTGGCCAAAAACTCTACAGCCTGTGCCCAGTAGTAGCATGTATGTAAGCTGCTTTTTTACTTTTCATAAGACAATATATGCAGTTTCTATTTCATTTGTGTTTTCGGGTATGATAATTTATGTTTTCACTATACCGTAAATATTAAGGCTTGCAAAGATGAGTAGAACTCATTATCGTCAGCCTATCAAAAGTCCACTGAAATGAACATAGGCCTCCCCCATAAATTGTCAAGTAGCTTGATATTTGCTATAGTGGCGGGTTGGCAACCGCAGCTATTATTATTTTGATCTGTTGTCAAGAAGATGATGCAGATCATCCCATCTACTGTTTTTTTCCTATGTCGCCTCTTACGACGGGACGATATGATGTGTTGGATTTTCTTTCACCGCCACAACAGTGCGAACATTTTTCTACTCCCGTTCATGAGTGTAGTGTTCCTCACGTTCACTTTGTATAAAATTTATAAGGAATAAAAGTAATTTTAAGGATTTTATTCGCGTTTAATTTTAACTTTTTAAATTCCCGATGGTTTGGGCAATTCATAGCACCCAGGGTCACAGGAGGGGTGGGAGAACTGAGGTGTTTGACGACCTGATATCATATTTAAAATAGAATAGTTAAAATGCAGTAGTAGTTGAATTTAATTTTATTAATCATGGAGTCCTTAGCAGATAGTAGCACTCAGCCATCTTCCCTATTAAAATTAGGATATTTTTAATTTCAATAGCCTCGCGAATCATCATTGGTAGGATTCGGTGTTCTATTGCAAGAATTTGTTGTATATAATGGTTGGGACGATATTGGGACGACGGACATGTTTACATACTTTAGACTTCCCGGAGCTTCGGTGCTTTCATTCGGTGAGGAGTCAAGATGCATAAAAAAACCCGTAACATTAGTTTTAATCCATGTGTGGTATTCATTATTATAGAACTGTATTTATGAAATTTTCAAGTCTACTCGAAGTAAATAAAAATATCTATATCTTTTATGGTGCCAATCAATATTAAATAGGACCAATGATATGAATAAAATGTCTCAAATAAACATTATATTCCTTTGTTAAAACTAAATTTACTTTAACTATGAATATATATATCTAAAGAGTAAAATGTAAGTAATAATAATACATTTTGATTTCAAGACTATTTACCTTTCTTATGGATACATCGGAATCGGAAGACACGCCATATATAAAAAATAGTAGGAGTTTCTAGACATATTATAAGTATGTTCACGTGTTTCTGTAGCATGTTACCAATCATCTACGTCTAATAGTATTTTAGAATGAAAAAAAAATCTCTGACAGACATAGAGACATAGACACCATGGTGACTCTAAAAGTGATCGAATATTTCTAAATTTGACACGGAACAGCATTTAAGGATGTCCCTAAATTCAAGTGCACGCGAGCGAAGCCGCGGGTAAAAAGCTAGTAAAGAATATATTTAACTTATTTTACCTTAGAGTGGCTGTTTTAAGGTGGGTAAACAGAATAATCCTGAATACTTATTTCTGTTCAGGTATATGTGTCTATCTGGGCTGCTGAGGTGCTAGGGTACAATCATAGATAATATAATGTATTTGTTATAATATGGTACATTACAGTTGTTACAAAAGAATTCGCATCCTAAATATTCTGCCGTTTCCGGCGTACAAATATTTTCATATAACAGGTCCTCAGCGTGTCAGAGTATACCTTGAGCCTTTACAGACATTTAAAGCCTGGATAATGTCATAAGTAAAACATTAGGTCAATCATATTTTGGATACTTAAGGTAAAATAAATAAAACAGCTTAATTTTTTTATTTATTTATCCTACTTCAAAATCCTCTCTTACTAAAATGCCATATAGAATTGAGGCCGGTGCGGTTATGGAATTTTGATACCGAGCCCAACACAAATACCAGACAACGGTCTTTATGTGGGCGCAGCAACCCACTGTCTGTTGTCCAGAAGTGCAACTGCAAAAATAACCTGCAATCATCTAATCCCAACTTGTCCCTTGTCTCGCCAACAGT